TGAATCAGATTAAAATGCAATTAGGAAATATTTAACTAAAAGTAAATAAAAGTACAATGAAAAATAATATTACACTTTAAAACTAAGTCATTATATTGCCGTCAAAAATCTTTCTGTGATTTAGTGGTCCCATTTAAATTTGAACTTGATACCAATGACCTAGTAAATAAACCCTAGAGACTCACTATTACTCTAAATATAAACTTAATATATTTAATTTACTAAAAACAAATTATTCCTCTCTAGGAGTTCTATTTTTCAGCCATTTTGGTCTGCTTGCTGGTCGTCACACAATTCATTTCTCATCTCTATGCCTTTACATTAACTCTCTCCACTGTTTGGAATTCTTTCCCTCTTCATTTCCCTCTTTTAGAATCCTTTCACGACTCATTTCAAATATTAATTTCTATAAACGGCCTGGTCTGTACATCCACTCCTTCCTTCCCCCAGTTATTAATGCCTTCTCCTGTAAAGTTATTTTTCATCTGCTTTGTAAACGTGTTATACACATGTTGCCTCTCTGTAACATATTAGAAAGAGGACTGCTTAAGGCTAAAGATATAATAAAATAAAATAGCAGGGTGAGGAGCCAATAAGCCTACGCATATGGGCTTGAATAAGGGGCTTTTGCATGTTTCATATACGGCAATTCCATACTAAGTGAATAGCAGCCTCTTTGAGAGACTAAAAGTGGCACTGGTCTCTCTTCCCAACTCTTAACCTTTTGCCTTTGCTGAAAGCATCTGATGAGAGAGAATGCTCTCCTAAACTCTTTGATATAGCCAAATTGGCCTTTTCTCTGTTCTTCACCTAATCCATCTCTGATTTCTATACCTTTTTACCAGCAAAACCAAAAGCCTGAAATGTACCCCCTCCTAACCTCAACCTCACAAAGTATTTTCTCTTCCTTTAAGATGTAGAAAGGCACCATTTTATTTTTAGCTTCCCTTCCAAACCACCCTGACTTTGATTACTCTCTATATAATTATACTTATTAATTTTATTTTTATGTATTTTGATATATTGATATATTTCATATGTCATTTTGCCTCCCCAATAAGAATGTTAACTCATTACAACTAAGGGTCTATTCATTCTATGCTTAAATATCCAGTGTCTTGCACAATGCCTGAGGGTACACAGAAGGTGCCTAATAAATATTAACTAATGGATTACTCTGTATGGGGATGTCACATCCCCTAAAGACCTTATGCAAGACAGAGAACATGAAAGCAGAAGAAAAAAGGGCC